GTTTGTCACAACCCCTCGTTTGTTGTCCTCTTCTCTCTCTCTGCCTACGGTTTTACCGGGCAGTTCTGTTTGTGACGATATATATATATATATATTCGGAGGTCGACGTTTATGGACGGTGTTGGGCTGTGCGAGCCAATTTGTAAAACGTGCTTGTCATGTGCGGGTAGAACTGCCACCTAGTATCCGACCGCTGACAAATGCAGCGCGTACAATGCTAGTTGCAGGTAATGCATTTCGAATCGTGTTGCGGTCAGGCAACTTGGTTCATCACCTCTCTCTCTCTCACTCTCTCTCTCTCTCTCTCTCTCTCTCTCTCTCTCTCTCTCTCTCTCTCTTTGTGCCTCTTTCTCTCCCTCTGTCTCTCTGTCTCTCTCTCTCACACACACACACATTTCATATTATTATTATCTTATGACTTGTGAATCGCTTGTTACGATATGGTTGGGAAGTTGGGGCCGTATATGAAGACGTTGTTGCCGTTTTACGGCATAAGTGGCACCCACTTCCGAACCCTATTGAAATGCGGGATTTTTAATGTCTGCATTGTTAATATTGCCTTGTGTTCACAGACATGCCTTTCACGTACATTCGTGACGATGTGGTTGGGATGTGGGGTCGGTTCATGGGCACATTGTTGTCGTATTCCGCCGTAAGTGATTTGGTTCAGAAGTCATCTCTCTCTTTCTCTCTCCCTCTCACACACACACACACACACACACACACATTTCATATTTTTATTACCATATCACTTGTGCATCGCTTGTGACGATATGGTTGGGAAGTTGGGGCCGTATATGAAGACGTTGTTGCCATGTTATGGCATAAGTGCCACCCACTTCCGAACCCTGTTGAAATGCGGGATTTTTTAATGTCTGCATTGTTAATATTGCCTTGTGTTTACTGACCTGCCTTCCACGTACATTCGTGACGATGTGGTTGGGATGTGGGGACGTTTTATGGGCACATTGTTGTCGTATTCCGCCGTAAGTGATTTGGTTCAGAAGTCATCTCTCTCTCTCACTCTCTCTCTCTCTCATACACACACACACACACACATTTCATATTCTTATTACCGTATCACTTGTGCATCGCTTGTGACGATATGGTTGGGAAGTTGGGGCTGTATATGAAGACGTTGTTGGCGTCTTACAACATAAGTGGCGCCCACTTCCGAACCCTGTTGAAATGCGGGATTTTTAATGTCTGCATTGTTAATATTGCCTTTTATTCATAGACCTCCCTTCCACGTACATTCGTGACGATGTGGTTGGGATGTGGGGACGTTTTATGGGCACATTGTTGTCGTATTCCGCCGTAAGGGATTTGGTTCAGAAGTCGTCTCTCTCTCTCTCTCTCACACACACACACACACACACACACATACTCTCTCACACACACACACACACACACACACACTCTCTCTCTCACACACACACACACACACATTTCATATTCTTATTACTGTATCATTTGTGCATTCCTTGTGTGACGATATGGTTGGGAAGTTGGGGTCGTATGTGAAGATGTTGTTGGCGTCTTACAGCATAAGTGGCACCCACTTCCGAACCCTGTTGAAATGCGGGATTTTTAATGTCTGCATTGTTAATATTGCCTTGTGTTCACAGACCTGCCTTCCACGTACATTCGTGACGATGTGGTTGGGATGTGGGGACGTTTTATGGGCACATTGTTGTCGTATTCCGCCGTAAGTGATTTGGTTCAGAAGTCGTCTCTCTCTCTCTCTCTCACACACACACACACACACACACACACACACACACTTCATATTCTTATTATCTTATGACTTGTGCATCACTTGTGACAATATGGTTGGGAAGTTGGGGTCGTATATGAAGACGTTGTTGCCGTCTTACGGCATAAGTGACACCCACTTCCGAACCCTGTTGAAATGCGGGATTTTTAATGCTGCATTGTTAATATTGCCTTGTGTTCACAGACCTGCCTTCCATGTACATTCGTGACGATGTGGTTGGGATGTGGGGACGTTTTATAGGCACATTGTTGTAGTATTCCGCCGTAAGTGATTTCGTTCAGAAATCATCTCTCTCTCTCTCTCTCTCTCTCTCTCTCTCTCACACACACACACACACACACACACACTTCATATTCTTATTACTGTATCACTTGTGCATCGCTTGTGACGATTTGATTGGGAAGTTGGGGATGTATATAAAGACGTTGTTGCCGTCTTATGGCATAAGTGGCACCCACTTCCGAACTCTGTTGAAATGCGGGATTTTTAATGTCTGCATTGTTAATATTGCCTTGTGTTCACATACCTGCCTTCCACGTACATTCGTGACGATGTGGTTGAGATGTGGGGACGTTTTATAGGCACATAGTTGTCATATTCCGCTGTAAGGAATGTTGGTGCGGTGAAGTGAGTGCAATGATGTTTCCACAATGAGCACAGATCAAAACCCAGTTGTAGGTAGTTGTGGTCTGTTATTAGGGGGAAAAAACATCAATGTAAATGAACATCACGAGAGAGAGCTGTAAACGAACGTCGTGGAAGTCCAAGTGATAAGTCCATTGTGACTGCAATATGCTTGACATTGCAGGTGTGAGGACATCTGATATCCTGCAGAAGACACAGTGCAGGCGATGGACGAGCGCATGGTGTGTGAATGTGGTCGACCGTTCATGTCATTAAGGACATTGAACTCTCATCGAGCGAGGGCATGTCCGTCGTTAACGAGTCGTAAAATGAATGACGGCGACGGACAGAGTGGGGACAACAGACCCACAGAGGAGGACATTGTGGCGGATGGCGGCGGGCAAGGTGAAAATATAGTCGACCTCGCGGTGAATGCGACACCTAAATGTGGTTCCGAAGAAGATCCGCCTAATGCGCGGTCGTTCGATACATCTCGCAGGCTCGCTGCAATCATGTTGTCCTCTAGGGGTGGCTTTGCGACATCGATGCTCTCTTTCAGTAGTGACAGATCCAAGATTTTCGCCGCAGGAAATCGTGTACCGCAATAGCCGTGACTTTTTACGTTAGACGAACAACCAGGCAGAGACAAACGGGTGGCAGGAGTAGATCTCAGAAATGATGACTGGCCATCAAATGCACATACCATCTTGTGGTACCGAGATTGATACACAACTTTCACGTCATTGCTCAAAGCAGCGACGAAAAATATGGAAACGGTGTCGTGTCCTTCGGTCCCCCCCCCCCCAAAGCACAACCCACAATAAACAGTGCTCGCTCAGGTAACTTGTGACATCACGTAAATACAGTCATCAGAGCGCATAAAGATGTAGACAAGAATGAAAAAACACAGTACGTGGTGCCAATGTGTCTGTATTCTGATAAAACACATGTAGATGGACGACAAAAACAGACGGCATATCCATTAATGATGTCCATAGGTGACCGTGCAGATGACGGAACACTTCTTACATATTTTCCTGTCCTCCATCACCGCCCACGCGACAAGGGACGGGGTTTGCAAAGCACCGCGTTCAGGAAATGCAAAACCGTCATATTGCACTCAACACTGTCTGTGGCGTTGCAGGCTGCGAAGCAAGCGTCACATGATGATACTGTTTATGATGATGAACGGTGGGGAGAGGTAACATTGCACCCTTTCCTGCTCAACTATCAAGACTACCCTGAGAGGTGCGTCATCGCAAAGGTGAGATACGGTGTATGTGCGACATGTACTGTGTCCAGATCAGATTTCGATGTCGTCGTGGACTTCGCAAACTGTCGTCGATCACAAAGCGTGGAATGTGAACTTCTTACCGAATTTAATTCGACAGACGACGATAATGTTCGTCGATTAATGA